ATACAATACCCCCAAAACAGTCATAGCAGTATGTTTTTTCCGTGTCTATAATATAATGATATGAATATTGACGAAATCCAGAAAAGTTTTCCGTCGATCTTGAGAGCTGTCTAGCAAATATTGTCAAATGTCGAAAGTAATAATTTTTATACTCATAATCAACCAGATATTTCCAACACATAAAGGTAAACAATAAAGACGTTTAATTTGTTATAATAATAATAATAATAATAATAATAATAATAATAATAATAATAATAATAATAATAATAATCTTAACTTTACCCGAAAACTGTCGTTGAGAAATGTATAAATAATGGGATTCAGAAAGCTGTTAGACATTGCTAGCCAGTGTGAGAATAAATACAACGTGACCGTGGTTTGGTGGTAGTCGGTGTTATCTAGATATTCTGTGTTTGCCATTGTTATGATGTTGAACAAGTTGAGTGGCAACCAGCAAAAAGCGAATGCAGAAACCACTACTACCAACATTCTGGTTACCTGTAGAATTGCACAAATAAAGAGAAGAAACGTGGTAACAAATATATTATTTATCTTTAAATACGAGTGTATTCATAGAGTTAGCTAAATTATATTATGTGTGTATATAATTATTGGCTTAATAACTTTGTACAGATTCTTCAATATGGCAAAATTGCGTGAAATAATACAATTTGCAAAAATACGGTGGTATTTATGTCAAGATTTATACATACCTTCTTTTTCGATTTGACAGAAATAGAATCTTTTTTTTCCTCGCTCAGGGTCTGTCTTTTCCAAATGATGTTACCAGTTACACAGTAAGTACCACATAAGATTACAAGAGGTATAAAATAAGCTGCAACTATGATAAATATCTCATATACAAAAGCATCTTTAGGCTCATCCCACCACTCATCACATTGGTAGAATTGGTCGCCAGTCACTTCATCCTGTAACACTGCTCTTGCTTTTATTAACTGTACACTTCCCAAACCCATCGACATCAGCCATAATGACGGTATAACGTATTTAGATTTTGACTTTGACATTCGAGATTCTATTGGCTTTCTAACCGCTATACATCTACCAATTCCAACGACTGTCAGTGTCGAGATGCTTACAAAAACAGATACCTGTAATTGCGAGAGAAAAAAACATTTATACATGTTTTGATAACACCCGTATAATACAACGTCGTTCAAAGGTCGAAATGGGTAACATCATTTGTAAAACTTACAGTTTTTATATTCATGTTATAACAAAAATCGAGGTGTGCAAGCCAAGTCACACAAAATGCATCTATATTTTAAAACACATTCCATTTATTGTTAACCCACATTCGGCACACACATTATTTTTCCTCTCTTCATCCAATATGGCGCTGTGTGGGATTCTTTGTTTTTTGTTTGATTTTTGTTCAAATATTAGGGAAATAATAGGCAAGTCCTAATCGATTGAATTATCCAAGAGAACATCCCAGTCTGAGTCATGTTACTGCACAATAATAAGCAGTGCAGAAATGTAGCACACTGTATTATAATGTATGACATTGGACTAGTGCCATGTTTTGTTTTTTTTCTATTTTAAAATACAATTAAAAAACAATAATGATAATTTAAGGCAGAAAAAAACAAACATTAAAACTTGGAATCATTGATATAATATACAACCAATGATTGATTAAGATGAAAAAGATAATATCGTTTGTTTAAAAGTAATCAAGAATCGGTATGCATGAAAGCGTTGATAAGAATGCAATAATGGATTGAAATAAAGACAGCACGACATTTGTCATCTAATAATTGTTTAAAGCTTAGTGAACAATCTAAAATCGTCTGTATACCAGCTGTATAAATTAGGTAACAATACCAGTAACTAATTAAAATGCTGAAAATCTTTAATCCTCAAATTACAATGTGACAGTTAAACATATACCTGATTGTAAATGTTTGTCATTTATAGAGATAAGTCCAAGATAAGACAAGTAGAGCAGACATCTGTTTCTCCTAACAGTTATTTCAATAGCATGATTTTAATGACATAAACAAATACTACATTCACGAATTTAGTCAAGCAATAAACAAGTTCGGTGTTTTATACATTTCTATATAGTTTATATTATGACACACGTGCAGTGTATAAACGGTTCGTAGTTTTGTCGGGTTCAAACAATTCACAGACAAATACACATTTTTTTTTAAAGTCATTGTCAGACTTTCCGGCTCGCACAAAACGAAAATAAATAGAACTAATCTACTACGTGACCGGACTTTCCTATATCAAAATAGGCATGATAATTTGGGATACCAAATCAAAGCATATTATTTCTTCAACTAAAATAAAACACATAGTAAACCATGTCAGCACTAAACTGTACATTTTTTACAGGTATAACAATAGCAACTCATAACACGTAGTGCTACAATGTCGCTGTTTGGTTAAATAGCTTCCAATTTGTGTTTTGATTTTTTTAAGATTGTGTCATTTCTTAAATGTCATCCGAGAACCAGGCATTGCCTCACAATGACACAAACAGTTAACAAATATTCATTCCTACTTTATAGCATATTTTTTACCATAATAACATTGAATGTGCTATTAGCGTTTTTATTTATGTTACTCATTTATTGCATCCGGTTATTTTTAGATATATGTGACCAAGGAACAAAACAAACACAGACTACACAAACATCCTAGGCCAAATGCTTTCTATAAATGTATAGATTTAATACGTTTTGATCAATATTTGTTCTGATTACAGAGGTCAACATTCTACTGGTGAAAAGACTGCTACTTTGAATAACTACTACCACATTGTATGTGAGGGTGTGTGTGTGTATGTGTGTATATGTGTGTCTGTGTGTGCAACACTATCATCACCGTAATGAGAAACAGCTTTTATACTGTTCAATTACTTCTTCTGCTGTGCAGATTATAGGATCGCCGCCAGTGCATCATGCTGTACTGAGCTTGTCCTTCTTAATGTCTGATATGTAATACATAAATCCAACTGTGTTTAACATTTAAATTTTTTGGCCATATTAGGGGAATAAGACAGAACTAAGAATGTTGCTTCTAAATACTGCATTATACTACACTGCGATATACTGCGCTGTAATTCTACCTTAAACTCCACAAATAAGTGCTGAAATTAGTGCAGTCATAAATTGTTAATTATGCAATCGCTGTCTCAGAATTCGCTTTTAGCATTACGAAACCTGAGTAAATAACCAAATTTTATTTTGAAACTGTTATTGCCTCTACCACAAATTCTGGATTGTAAAAGTTGAAATGTTACATTACATATCGAAATAATGCAAATAACAGTCGTTGTATACTGAATTGCAAGCAATTGAACAGCATTACATAGGCTTTAATTTGATTACCTAAACATCTGGCATTTATAGTTCTTGGTATACTATGAAATTTGCCTTTTTATATTAGTTTGAGAACAATACGTGAAGTTTCCATAGAAACGACATCATTCGCATTAATTTCTCATACAGGTACAGCGCAAGACACTATGTAGAGATATTCAATTTCATATTTTCCATGTGGTGAAACGTCGTCACGAATTAGCAATATAACAATATAAGGTACATTCAACATACTATTATTTAATATTTATAAAACAGACATATAGAGGGTAAGATGCATATGAAGTTGTCGTTGGAAATAATAAAACATTGTCTCATTTCTTCGAAACTATTAAACATTCAAAAACTTTATCAGATATAATGAGCTTCTGTTTATATACTAACACACTAGAACACAGATGGTTCCAGATGGCATAAGTATGAAATGACTCACTGATTACAAATGGCGGGTACCACATATAGATGTGCTCACTTCTTTCAAATCATTTATTATTTTCACTTTCCATGAATACATTATAAAACTCGTATAGTATTTTTTATTTATTCCGCGCCTTGACTTTTACGCAGTTCGTGGGAATGTCCACTACTAAGAAACAGGTGAAACACACGTATTGTGTAAACAATTAGGGTTGGGAAATTTAAGAAATAGTGTTCTACGTATATGTAGATTAGTTGTCATCTGAACTTATCAGAAAACAAATCTAATCGAATAACATCTAATAATTCAAGATGTGGCAATGCGAATTCTTGGATTTGTATTACACAGTATAATGATATCAAAAAATAACACACGGTGCCTTTGAGAATATTACAATGACAACCATCGAGATTTTGTCATTGATATTTCTCTGGATGTTGTGCGATGAGAACACCTGCGATTACTTACATACTTCTGTCTACATTATAGGCGTGTTTACGTTATTCCTATAAATAAAGACGTCAGGACTGTAGACAATGATACCAAGTATATTCCAAACCTCACATCAAATGAAAATATTTCGGTATATTGTAAATTTGGCGTTAATTTTGATGACGCACGTAATTATTGCTATTAGTCAATATTTGATGAATAACAAACGAAGCACTGCCAGTTATTGCGTGTTATAAATCACCGCTATCTGAATAAAAGGTTTTGATAGCTTATCAAATATAATGGAAACCTTTTCGCAAGCGACTTTCAACACAAAGCCCCCCCCCCCCAAATCTATCTATTCTAATTCTATTATAATGGTGTTAATTTTGAAAGTGTTTGTTATTTAAAAACATCGAATATGACTGGGTAAAACGCAATCATGTGTTTATGTTCCTGTATTCCCCGCAAGCTCTGCCTTTTTATTGTCTGATAGCACAGCTGTAGGGGCTTACAGGAGAAGGCGGTTTTCAATCATGGGCGGCGAACGGTTTTATAATATTAAACATATTGTGAGTTTATTTACAAAATTGTTGTAATTACTGTATCATACAAGACCATGATTGATATAATTCGGCCGTCAAATTTACAAATAATAATAAACAAAACAACTGCCACACGAAACACAATAGCATGTGTGTTGATAACATTCAATTTAAACAAATATACGTGATACTTTGACTTAAGCATCTAGAAGTGTGTATTTCCTGTGTAATATTACAAGCTTGCTTAAATGTTAACTATAGTACATATGTGATACTAGGTAAACTCGGATGAACTGACTATAACTAGTATGAAATGCTGCGAATGAAGTGCTGATGTTGTACAAAAGTATTGTGCGGTGCAGTGTGAATTGGATACCGTTCTAAGACTTGAGACAAGTAGTTTTCGTACAAAGCTATGAACAATTATATAGCTCAATCGTTTTGTTTTAAAGTGTTTATGAATGGTTTCTAACGTAATTGCTCAATCAACAAATAACTCAGTAACAACTGATCTGATCATACATGCATGTAATGCGTGTTGGTGAGCTGTGAGAAGGTTTTATGATTGAATTGACATTGTTTTTTTATCCAAAATTCATTACAATGTTACTATATACCTAATCAAATAATTAGGGGATTAAATTCTATGTCGCTATATCCCTGTGAATAACATTATATTTGAATACAAACATGACGACAATTCTAAAAAAAATTATTAGGCTAAATTTGGCCTCAGTGAATGTCGCAGCCAGTTATGAAATGAAAAAAGTGTATTGTATATGATTACCTGTTGAACAAAATACATCAATGGACACATAAATGGGCTGAAAATCCATCTTCGAAGCATCGCCTGCACGAAGGAAAACGGCATACAAAATATCGCCACACAAAGATCGGAGACTGCTAAATTAATCAGATATTTATTGAGCTCTGTCTTCTTGAGGCCACGAAACGCCAACACGAATAGGACTGTAATATTTCCAGCTAACGTTAGAACAATCGTTAATGTGTATACAATGATTAACGCGACTCTACCTTCGTATGAAACAATTTCATAAGGCTCTCGGCTGGTTAAGCATAACTGATCAAACAATTCCTGAAAGGACACATCGTCATAAACAGGAAACTCAGAACTGAGTGAGTCGTTATTTGATGAATCCTGAGATCCGCTGAAATCTAAAACACAATATTCTGGATGACATAAACAGTGAACGTAGTCTTGCTCTGGAATACTGAATGAATTGCTCAATGCATCGCCCATTGATATTGCCATCATGTTCGTTGTATGCGTTTCGCTCACTTCGCAAGTGTCTTTTAGCAAGCTAAGGATACCAGAAGACGCGTATTCAACTCAACGGCTTTCAACAGCCGAAAGGCACAACAATTCGGCCTATCATAGCATAAAACGTCATTACTCGATTACCCAACGGCCGCCTAGAAAAAAACTTCTACAACGCATTACATTAGAATATATTATTTCTAAAGCCCGGCATAACGATGCATATTCATAATCAAAAATAATTTTGCAAGTCTCTATTTCACAACTGGTCATCTGATTGGCTGAAGTTTTAAATACTCAATTAGCTGGGTTATATCTGAACTGAACTCGATAATAATTGCCCAGCAAGTAATTTCCCAAGAGTGATTTTCAACATGCTATCAATTACCCTTCTCGAAACACAACTATAAATATTTAATACTGGCAGTATTCATATCCTTTAAAGGAGAAGCGAAGCTGAAGCAATAGTAGATTGGTAGTGTGTTGTATTGATGAGGTAGAACACGTGTCACCTTGAAAATGCTTGGTTTTCAAAACACTTTTACATCGCAATTTCTGCTATAAATCAGTGGTAAAAATAAATTATGGTGGAAGTGTTTATTTCATCTTTAACTTACAGTAAATGTTGAATTGTTATTATTGTATATTTGATTCTAATGTTTGTGGTGATACTATAGCATTATCAATAACAATGAAGTTGTGACGTCATCGCCGTGGATTATTCGCACTTCTTTAACATCAATGCCATATATAAAGTTTATGAGTAGTATGATATATTAGGAAAACAATGAAGCAGAGTATAATAAAAAAAGCAGGAATATTATAGGGTCAACAAATTTAATAATAAAATCGGCGGCAGTTAAAAACATATTACAAATTTGACTACATCGCTGTCAGTTTCGTCACGCTATAGAGCGCATTCGATCGCAACGTTCCATCCAATATTGTAACAGAGCTAGAATGAAAAGAAAGTAGAAATGGAAATATATGGTTTTTACTTTATATTTTGCGGTTAGTATATAGAATCATATTGTGGTATCATTTTTTTTTTATAAATAATTTTAACATATACTGAGACTGTTAACAATGGTTAAAAATACATTTGAATGGCCAATTACCTAAAATTAAATATTTGAGAATTTCTGTACAAACTCTTAATAATAAGTACTGCATAATATAATCTGCAAACTACACTTTACTTACAAATCAGATGACATATTTGATTTAATTGTGATTAATTAGCATATTTTAAAGCAGACTGATTCTTTATATGTATGGGTACAATTCCAAACACCATGGCTGATAGACAATCTTATTGTACCAATGTATTTATTTTCTCTTGTACAATATCGTGCTATGCTTCCCGCATAAGATTAAATTCAAAATTATTATTTTGTGATGACTGAAATGTAGAATAAATTTGTGCTCTATATGTATATTTTTAAATCAAAGTTACATATCATTGTTTAATATTTAAAAACAAAAATTAAGGTAATATTCTAGTTGGTGAAATTCTCAAAGCAATTGACAATCTGGGATGAACGCCTTGTACTACAACAACAAAAAACAAATCGATAATTTCTGCGTAAAATCGTGGCCTTATGCCCATATTACATGTCATTTTACACCACTGTTAAAAGATTCAAGAGTCAGCTAATAAAGTCATCGATATTTTTTTTCTATCAATGCCAGTAAGCGGGATCACGAAGTTGGGATGTTTAACGTTTAATAATCATACAAGTAGGCCTCGAGAAACGGGGATTGCCTCAAAGGATCATTAACCTTTTTCCACGTTCTTCATGGAGTGAATGCATGTCACAGATTGTATAGTAATAACATTGTCAACAATTGTTACAGACGCATCCATACTGGTATGGAGGCCAGTGGGATTGAAAAAGACATTTTCAAAATCAAATAAGCATAGTTCTTAACAATTCTGTGTTCACAGGTGTATCCTGGATTTGTGACATTGTGACATTCAATATTCTTTTCGGATAATTTCATTCATGGACAGCTTGCCAAATGCATATATATATATATATATATATATATATATATATATATATATATATATATATATATATAGTAAGCTAAAAGAGTAACACACATATATATTTGTGTATCATTGAATTTAGTGACTTAACTTTATATCAGTCAGGATTATTTAAAAAATGCAAATACCGTAACACTGGTGTTCAAGGTATATATCCAAAGTGTGTCTTAATGTATAATTAGTTTGTAATTATTGCTGAAAATATTAAATAACCCTCTCCCCCAATCCAGCTTTTTGAATTAAAATGAGTAACTAAACATACACATTGTATCTAGAGACCATATATTCAATAAAAAATGCAAGAATAGTGTCTACTCCTAGGGGATATAAATGATACAGTGTTGCATTTTCAATTTCTTTTCATTTCAATTTTATGTTTATTGTTTGTTTATTTGGCGGGGGGGCTAAGACATTCTAGTGATGAGCGTTCAGTTCAAAGACAAATAACAATATTTTTGTGGATCTTATTTATTTCTGTTAAAAATAAAGAATATTGTCAAAAATGTAAGTAAACAAAAGCCCGCTTGTTAGTCTGACCTTTGACCCAGGTGATGCACGCCCTCAAACAGGGCGTACCTGAGAAAAAAAAACATTTAAAAAACTCAATTGGTTTTTGCAATGCATTTACGAACGGTGATTGGTAGATTAGTAGCATGAGACCTGAAAGCCTACTTCTTGTCTGTACTAGCGTTGATATGGAGGGAGTGGGCATATAAACCGTCATAAACGGTCATGGCTATTCTGAATAAAATATGAAACGTGGATATTTACTATATTTATTTATTCGTTGACGTACACATTCTGAATGCTGCAAATCTTTCATCCTGAGACTATAAAAAGGAACCCAAAACATCATGTGTAATTAACAATATTACATTCTCAAGCGATATGCATGTGTACAATGTACAAGACCGAAAACATGAAACAAATGACTGAAAAATAATCGACACGACTTGTGTACACCATAAGTCCACACGCAATAGAATAACAAACATAAATAATAACAAACAATCAAACATTGATGAAATTTGTACCAAATAATACCGAAATAAAGACAACACAATGGTGCGACAATGACTGTATGAAGAGAAATAGCGTAATAATTAAATAATCAAAAAAATTATAATCAATAAATAGGGAAACTAATAGCGAAATTAACAAAATAATGGAGGAACAATAATGAAATATTTGTTTAATAAACAGATAAGCATCAAAATATAAACAATAAAGTCCATCAAACTAACAAAAATTATCATCAAATCATGATCAAACAATGCCAAAATAATGTGATAACTATTGTTTATTTTAAAATAAGCAAATAATCACCAAATAATGTGAAAAAACATGAACAGATATTTTTTATATACCTCAATTCATAGGTATACGTGTTGTGAATGAGGTTACCTTGGTAATTTGATATTTTGAACGACTGCCAACGCGTCATGCGGGCTCAGACGCGAAATAATTACGGCGTGCATTTCAAAGTATTTCGGCCGTTAATTCAAAGAATGGCACTAATAGACGATAATTATCCAACACGTCTGTAATTCAACGAATAGCTTACTTCCAGTCCTGTAGGAATTTATAATTACGTGTACATTTATTTATCCATGGTCGGCGTCATTGTACATGTAATTGGTATTTGCTGACTATAGTTAATGAATAGCTACTGCTGGCATTTCATATGAGCAAACAATGTTATGCAATCTGTCATATATTTTGCTGCATATGAACTAAAATTGAAATTCATAATTTATAAGTTTATACAACCCAAATCGCACTCGCATGTATTGTGACGGAAATTGTTCCCTGTTAAATACAGTAATATGTAAGGAGTCAGAACGAACTAACGCAGGTGGAATGTTGAATGTGAGGAACAAACCCGATCAGTGAATGATTTTAACGCATTACTACCAGTACCAAAAGACCCGTTTTTTGGATCCCAATACGGAGGACTTGCTACTCTTGCGTTTGAAATTAGTTTGAAACTGGTGACCATAATATTGTTATTGCTTTAGAAAACTGCCGGGGTTTTGGACTATACGTCGCTTCCTTACCCGAATAAACCACACGGCGGAGATTGGTGGAATTCTCGGTGTTATCAAACACTGACTTGGATGGAGAGACTAGCTCTCCACACCAATGCATGTAATATCTCGTGATCCAAGGTTGGATCCAAGAAAGAGCTCCCCACAGTAGAAACTAAGGAATCCGAGGGCTCCTCAACCCTCTTGTTAAAACACAGTTCACCGTGAATTCACCTACTGTAAAGTACTTTATTTTAGCTGGAATTAATTTTCGCTGAAAAGTCTTTTTTGGTGTTTTGTATGGAATTTATTTTCACCGATTATTGACGAGTTCAATTTAAAATATTGGGAAAGCAAAAATAAAGTATTTTACTGTATTTTGGAGGCTTAACGCACAGTGCAAACGATAATAAAACGGAACTTGAACTCACATACAAACTTGTGTATATTACATATGCTTCTGATTTCTTTTTGAAATGACAGAGGTAATTAGCATGAATGAACCATATTGTCCATTTGGCCAAAAAAAAGCATTGAAAACAGCTAATTGGTATGCAAACATTTTTAAGATATTAGCACGATATATGTGCACAAGCTTAAGAAATGTATCAAGTAGCAAAGTAGTACAAACAAAAGAATAGCTAATGTTATGCAAATATTCCAGTTTGTTATTGCCATATTTTTTTTTACAAACATTTATAAATTATATAAGGTCACATATTATGTAATATAATCATTAATAATATATCTTGTAATTAATATTGTTGTTTGTGCTAGACGCTCTGTTATTTCTTAACAGTATATCGCTCTCTTTTGTATAGTGTATAGTGTATGCGTATGCTAAACGCATTTCGTGCGACCGGCGATTGCTGCCTAACGTCCTTATAAAAGAACACTAGACGAAGTAAGTTCAT